GCTTGTCTGGTTTTTCACTGGAAAACAATGTAGCATGAAGAAGTGGCATTAGTTATATGTTGCTTGTGAATGAAAGGGCAAAGGAGTCTGTGATTAAAGAAACTGAACAGACGCGAACATGGCTCGTGATGGCTGCTTTCATGTCTGCTCTCTGAAACAAAATGTCAGACCTCTTTGCACTCGCTGTCTGTAGCTGTTCTGTCAGTGTGACACACTGTTAGAACATGCTTTACATACATGGCCTGAAATCCCTGGAATCACAGCACCCCATCACAAGCAGCCACTCCAAACATCTGCCAAGTGTCTTTGCTGCCACATACAACCCACAGAGAACATCTGGGCTGGCACCCTGGTACCCCAGAGAAACAACTTCCAGTGAACAGCCAGAAAGATTTGTATGTTTTTCCAGGTCATAAAGGCTTAATTCAGAATGGATGTTGCATCAAGACATCTCTGAGCATCCACAAGGAGAAGGTGTTGACAGAAAGGCAAGCTGAATATTCTGCTTTCACTTCAAAAGGAAAATCTTTCCAAATTGCAGAATAAACAAGAAAAAATGCAATTCAAAAACATCAGGAAGAAGAAAGAGGTTAATGGGAAACATTTCTTCTTAACATAAAGACTCCATATTATTTTATTTCATTTATTGCATTGAACCTACGTCAGATTTGTGTGCCATCTTTGAACACAATTTTAGCATCTTGTGATAGTCCAGAATTATATGGGTGGGGATGATAAATCTGGAAGGAATATGAGATGGTCTCGGCAGGGGAAGATTTGACAGAGTAGAACAAAAAGAATAAAAAAAGGAATTTACTTTAAAAAAAATTATTTTAGGGACTCCACATTTAAAATTTGCTTTTTGTCCCCAATTGCTTTTGATCATATTGCCAAACATGCATTCTTCCATCAGAAATTAAGCCAAAATTATTCCATTGGCAATTGTCTGCCTCATTCACAAGCAAGGGTCTTTCTGCAATCTTTCATGCCTTATGAAACTGATATTCAGCACACTTTTATTTTTACATGGTATATTCAAAACTTACTTTGAATTCTCATTTTATCCAAATGTCCTGAAGTAAAGCAAGGAATGCTAGGATCTGATTCCTACTAAAGTGACGGGCTTGCTGTTAGATTACTTCATGACTTTGGCATGCAAGGTGAGTAAAGACAGAAACATGGGTCAGCTTTATTTACCTTAACTGAGCCCATGCTGACAGGCCTGGAACTGAGCTCATGGGTGCCCCTTCCAAGTTCTCCTGAGGAATTGCATGACATATGTGACTGACTTGTTTGTGTAAGAAGTCAGTGGCAGAAATACAAAATAAACTGTGTTTCTCAGTGTAGGGTGTGGAGCTAAACCATTACTGTAACTCTGGATATGAGTTTCTCTTTGCAAATTATGCAAATACGTAACTTTTCTCACTTACACATTAATGCCTTTCTTCTGTTAGCAATTATAGATCAAGACAAGACTATTTTAATATCCATTTTTTGTCCCAAATAAATTAAAAATTTTACTTTTTGCGTGTTTCTCGCAATATCTTTTTTCTTATGAAAAAGTATTGTGATTCAGAGCTAGTTTCATACCTCCAAAGTAGCTGGAAAAAAGGGTATTTCAATATAGTATCAGGGCTATGTCAGGAAGATAACTAGGGAAAATCAAGCTAGCTACAGCCAAAGATATCCAGCTGTCTTAATCCCTATAAATCTCTGCTAGAGCAAGTGGAAAGAAAATATGAAAAATATCAAAACTGCATGTGTCTCATATTTAAATGTTTCCACAGAAGTCTAACCAAGCTTGAAAGTTAATCTTTAATTCAAAGAATAGGAAATACCCAGGAATCATTTACAAGGCCACAGGTCACTAGGGAATAGAGTAGTCTGACTTCATAAATCACAAGCAAGCAATGTTAACTGAGTCCTTAGTGAGTTCTATCTCATTTTCAAGGGTCTATACATCTGTTACATAGTTTTTAAATGCTGGTGGCGATCAAAACAATGTACAGAGGAACATGTGTAACCATGGGGACTAATAAGAGAATTTCTGTGGTCATGCTTGACAAGATCCCAGAACTGAAGCCTCTGAAATCCACAGGCAAAAGTTTGTCATGGCAGGCATTACATCTCCTAATTCTGTTCTGCATTTAAATTTACATTAAAAGTACTCCAAAGTCATTTCCTGCCCAAATATTCATCTCACAGAAATGGCCATCAAGCTACTCCCTAAAATAGGAGGTGAATCAATCAGTGTTCAGAATTCCTTTAGCAAAGCCACCAGACACCACACTGCACTTCCAGAAAGTTTCAGGATGAGGTTCAAGGAACCAGTTACACAGATGTGCAAACTCCAGTGCCAAAAACTGAGGATTAACAGAGGTCTGGTCAGACAGCAGGAAATGGCAAGACTCCAGAGACTTGAGTCCACCAAGTTGTGTAAAGCTCCATGGTGAAATAAAGCAATAGGAAAGTGTGAGGTGGGAGATAGCTGTGAAGGGAAATATCCGAAGGACATAAAAAATTTTAAAATGCACCTGAATTGAAGGCATCTTGAGAGGCTGTAAATGGCAACATTTCCCTAAGCTGTAGTAATTTTTACTATTGCTGCCTTTTGTGAGTCATGCCAATGTCTGCTTCCCCCCAGGCTCTAAAATGGGAATAACACCTCAGGAGGATGCCTCTGAGATTGAATTAGTTGTCATTTACCAACGATCCTGAGTAAAGTAAGACCATCTTACTTTATCAGGTGTACCTCCTTAACACAAATTAAAAAGAAAATCCATTAAGAAGTTTAATGATTTGTTATCTAATATAGAGTATGCAGATACCATTTAATATCTTCAGAAGGGACTGGGGAATGAGAGTCCTTATTTTGATTTTCAGGGAGTATCTGGAGAGCATGTGCAGCATGTGAGCTGTGACAATCTCTCTCCATCCTTTTACTGGCTTCTATGAAAAGGAAAGGCTTCTACCCCAAATTACAGACCTAAGAAGGGCTGGGGGTAAAAACACTTTCCAATAGGTGTTAAATCACTTGTTGAAAACAGAAGTCTGCAAGTCCTAGAGCATCAGCTCTAATTGGAATATGGGCAAAATCTGAATGTAACTCCAAACATATGAGTTTTGAATAGCTTCACATAACTTCCAGCAAGCAATGAAGTTACTGCTCTGAAAGCTAACTACTCACAGCCAATATCAATCAGATTACTTGTGTAAATAGTCATCCAGGCAAAAGCAATAATAAGAAAATCTATCCCTTTGACTTTCGTGTTCAGCAAGCTTATATTAATGGATCCTCCACCCTATAATCTTTATTCCTTACACTTTCTACAGAATTCCTCTATTCTCACTGTGTCCTAGCAGGAATTTACACATCATGAACAATGGGCAGTTTAACTGAGTTGCTTGCACAGTGTGAGAGACCCAGTACAGTACTGGGGTACAGTACTTGTACCCCAGTAGAGACCTTGAGGTTTTTACCCTCAGCATGGGCAGAAAGGGAAGAAGAGGGATTGCTATCTCCCCAAAAACCCTGGTCCTGTGGACCAAAGACATCAGAAAGGCCAGGCACCCTGAGACCATCTCCACTTCTGCCAAAGCCTTGCTCACAGCCCGTAAACTGGAATTTATTTTTTGGCTTGACAGGGCTCCCCTATTGAGACTTTAAAGGCTTGCAAATGCCAGTAGTATCTCATGTGAAAACAAAGCAACTAGGGCTTGGCAAGGGGTGTGGAGAGATTTATAAGGTGTCTATCATGGCAAGAAACACCGTCAACAACCCATACAGAAAAATACTGTCCTACTTATTTCTTGTGGATGAAAATTCAAACAGTGCTTCTGAAATAACATCCTCAGCTGTTTCTATCTCCTGGCTTATAAAGTGACATTCTGCAGAGTTTAAGCATGGCAAAGCAGCATAGGCCATTTGTGAGGAGGGCTATCATGTCCTGAGGAAAAAGATAAAAGAGATAAATAGCCGAGTACAATATTGTACCTCAACAAACTAAAAGACAACCTCAAAATTGAATGGAGGAATGGAGAGCTTTTATTTCTTGGTTTTTTAAAGAACAAAGCTTAGTGATTTCCTTTAAAAGCTATTCAACAAGCTCCCCTAAATCCTATTACAACTTAATGTGAAATGCATCTGTTTCCATAAGACCCACACTGGCAGCATTCATCCTTTGTAGTCTGTCCTTTGTTGTTTTTCTATCTTTTCTTGTAGATTTCTCCACTGTAGTACACCATACACAAAACAAGAACTGATAAAATTTTAGTCAGAGCATTTATTTATTAAGTTGATGCTGGAAATTCAGTTTGTTCCTGCTTGCCACCTGAATCATGCCAAATTAAATTATTGTTCAAGGAATTTATAAGGTAAAGAAACTGTTTCGATACTCTCCCAACATTTCTTGCATGTGGATTCTGTATTCAGCTACAGATATTGAGCTACACATAATAGCAAAGATGAATATAGTCTCTGCATGACTTCTCACTGTAACTGAGATCCAAATGTACTGCAATGTATTCAGCCCGTGTATCTTAAATCAGTTCAGCATCAGCTCAGCACTGCACCATTTTTTTAGAACCTGCACATGTAGCTATCTATATAATATTTTTCTAAGACAGGACCAAGCTGGTGGGTTTATCTGATGTACACTATTTAACTGAATTCACATTCAGCAGACTGTGAGGCATATTAATTCTTAAAAAGGTGTATATTTAGAAAATCTTAGATAAACAGAAACTAGGAAGCGCAAGATGCAACATGCTTTTATTAATGTTTTGCCTGTGGAAAAAGGTGACTTTGATTGTTGTATGTTCTGAACTCAAATGCTGGGTGTCTTGTTTGTAAACACAAGGAAACTGAGTTTTAGCACCTTTAGCTTTTTTAACCTTCACCATCATCACCATTACAAATTTATGCAATGTATTGTTTAACATTATAATTAGTGTGACTGATGTTTTTTAATCTGTTTTCCCTCTCATTGTCTCTTAATCAGGTAACAGACATTAAAGAAAAGCTAAAGCTCTCTAAAAAGTTCTGGTCAACATTGCCCTACACAATCTGCAAGGATGAGCGAGTGACAGCGGGTCCGTCCATCGAGGAGGAATGCTGGAATGGCCACACCAAGGCGAGGTGAGGTGGACCCCTCTCCACCCCACCCAGTCCAAATCCCCATCTGGCCTGAAGCATTCATGAAACTGGGGGTATTTCACAAAACTGTTTGTGAGAGTGAAACAGAAATGGGGAGAACAAGTCATTGTCCACACGCCGCTTGTAGCCAAGATTTCTTATTGTCAAAATGCCATTAAAGCCAGAGTGTGAGCCAGGGTAAATGTGCACAGAGGGTCAGCATGTGAAGGCAGAAAATGTGCATTGGTTCAGCTCCAGAAGGATAATTTATACTGAGATTTCAAAAAGCTCTTTAGGTCCATTTAGCATCCCTGTGTTGGGACTGACAGCTTGTGAAGCAATTGCACTCTCGGGATACCATACTGGGATGAAACAGAAATTGGAATTTCAACTCTACTTGCTATTGGCTGGCAAAGCTTAGGGCTATTTACTGGGGGTGGGGGGGAGTGGGGGTGCAAAAAATGAAAAATCACCACCAGAGAATAAATCTAGAACTCCTACTTATCGTGTGTAAAGATTTAAAGATTTGACCTTATGTTACTTCTTCAGAGATAACTGTGATCATCTGCCCGTGTTTGTGATGAGTATTCTGTGAGTTTTAATTTTGAAGTTTACTTGGCCCTGGCTGCAGCAGAGCAGGAGCCAGCAGATGAGCAGGTGTCTTCAAAAGTCCCAGTGTGGATTCATCAGCTGACAGAGGAGAGGATCTGATTATCCCTGCTGAGAGGGGGAGGAATTTGACTCAGGGACCATGCCAGGGGCATGGTTTTAGGTGTGCAGCAGTATCTTGTGCTTTTGGGTAGACATGGGGAGTGGGGAGGTTTGAGTGTCTGGTGACAGCTGAATCTCCAGAGCAGTGACACATTCTGGCACTCAGGGACTGGAATCTTTATTTTCCTTTTACCTGAAGATACCTATGAAGACAGAATGTAAAAATGAGCCAAAAAGAAAAAAACAACCAACCAGTTAAACAAACAATAGAAAAACATGAGACAAGCATGTAAAATATAAAAACAATGAAAATAAGACAACATAGGAAAAAAAACTTAGAAACTTGCTCAGTGTCATTTTAAATGGGTGTATGGATCATGTATGACAGCTGCATAATTAGGTTGCACCCACTTCACCATGTCATCATCTGATCATTTTAATAAGGAGCACAGTTTGCAGGAGGATGTTTCACACTGAATGCACACCATTTTTTCCTAGCCTTACTACATAGCCTTCAAAGGAATTCATTTTACAGACAGGAGGAGGGGGCTGTTTGGGATACTGCTAGCCCCTTGAATCCACTTATGGATGCATGTGAACAAATCTGTCCAAAAGCATGAGCCACTGCTTAGTTGCTAAGCCCCAGATCCAGAGAAAGCCCCTGGGGATGCAGAGAAGTACTAGGAGGAGTGTCTGGCTATTACAGGACTCATCATAAAGGAACGGTGTGAAAAGAGAAACAAAAATGTGTGGTTTCTCTTTGTCTATTTTATCCTTTCTTGTTATCGAGCTTTGAAAGACATGAGCTCAGGCCTGTGCACTGCCAGCAGTTAAGCAGAGTTTCAAGGCATGCCAGCTAAATGCCATGAGCCACATCAGGGTGCATGCATCAGTAAGAGATATATGCTGCTCTTTCTGCAAAAGAGCAGTCAAATCCCTTAATATCTATCTATTCCTCCTGGTATCATGCTTAACACTGGTGTGTGTACCACATCTGGCAAATACTTGGCAGCTCTCTTCTGCTCCTGCACTGAAGGGTTTGGCACAGCTTCCACATTTGTTGGGAGTTAAGGAGGTACATTTTATGCATAGAGTTTTTCACCCATCTTTTGCAGAATTTATCTTATGAGAAGCCTGGGTTTCTTCATTATGCCTTCTGAGATTAATGTTCTGGAGAGAGAAGAGCAGTCCTCTGTTAATAATCTCCTTGGTAATTGAGCACAGATGTTTCACTGGATGTAGAGTGACAGCTTCAAAATATCACCTGAAGATACCATTTCAGCAAGTCCAGCCACTGCTTCTCTGCCCAGTTTCTGTTTAATATCCATTCACAAAGGAAAAGTGTAGTGATGGTCTTAGTAACAGAATTCAATAAATGCTTCAGGTGGAGGCAATGGTAATAAATCAGAGAAACACCCCAGAATGCCATGGCTGTATATGAAATAGTATTAAAAACAATATTGAAAATAACTAGCTTTAAATGCAAAATCACCTCTTGGCTGGTGAACAAATACTTTTACTGCAGCAGAAAAACATAAAGGTTTCCTTGATCAGACTGATTAGTATCTGATATCAAATACTAGCTCACAAGAATGAGCATAGCAAAATCTGACCAGTATTCATATGTATATACATATATATATATATATATATATGTGTGTCTGTGTGTTTGTGTGTGTTCACTGTCATAAGCTGTCATAAGCACCCCTGTGCTATATGAGGAGCTGCATGTTGAATTCCAGAGAATATGACAAAACCTGTGATAGAAAAAAAAGAAACTTAGCCACCTCCTCTCTTCCTAGACATTAATGCTGTAAGTAAGAAGACAGCATGGTGTTGGCAACCATTGGGAAAGGAAATTATTGCTGGGGTTTTAAACAAATCCTGTTCTGGAATAAAGAATTAGAAACTTTGAATTGCCAGATGGATATTATGCCTTATGTTTCACTTTACACATCACCTTTTGATGCTGCTTTTGCAGGGGAAAAGAGTTACAAACCTGAGATCACAGAGAATGAGAGCTTGGCTTTCTCCTCAGAGAGGCATTACACCAAGGTCATTTGTGGTTATTACACTCCCTAAATATCACTTTGCTGCCATGATTAATTTACAGTGACACCAGGTCACCAACTGAAGGTCGCCAATTCACAAGTAATCATGGCGTAACAGAGTCATCCATTTGGTGTTCTGGAAGGGTGCACTTGGCTCATTGCTGATCCTGTACAAATAATGGTTTTAATCAGGTCACATCACGTAGAAACCAAGTGCTGTGGAAATGGAAAAGTATTTATTAGATGGATGAATCTCTTTTTTTGAAAAATCCATATTATTAAAGATAATAATAATAGCTACTTCAGACAAAGTGCCTTTAGAGAGATGCCCAGCAGGATTTCTCCATCAAATTTGTATTCACAAAAGAACGTGAACATAATTTTATGTTTAAAGAATTAACATCTTCTACCAGATGTGCAGAGACAGATTTCTGAAAGCTATTTAGGATCTAAAAAACAACATTAAGATCAAACTTTGAAAATTTACCTCCCTCCCTACATGCAATTAAATTCTTAACAACAGCTGATGGCATCTTCACTAATAGGTATTCTTCAGAATTAAGACATTTTCCCAAGAATGATGGAAAATCAGGCTTTAGGACTTAAACCAAGTATATATATATAATATATATATAATATATTTTATTTATATATATATAATCCTTGAATATATGACTTTTTCTGAAGTAAGAACAGCAACCAAATCTGGAACCCTCTGATGTTCAGGAGAATAACCTTGAATTGCTCCAACCAACTCAGAAGCTCATTCCAACCAAAGCATCTGAGAGATTGTGCTCATGCACTATCATCCTGGTGCTCAAGCTCACCAGGGCTATAGACTTACTAACACGTCTTAGCTCTGAGAAGCTGTAATCCGTGGAATAGATGATACTTGCATTCCTTTCCATAAGGAACCTATCACTCCTCCAAACAGAAGAAGAAATAGAATGATATATGAGACAGAAAAATAAACAGAAAAACATAGAGAAGGGGAACAAATAAAAGGAAAAATGAACGCTATAATTTTCAATATCTAGCTCAAAACTACAAGGTATATCACCAAAGCAAACACAGGATAGATTCTCAGCTGTTCTGGCATTCTCTTCTTCTCCTGCCACACATGTGGGAGTGTCTACTTCTGTGGCAGAGAGCTTTTAATTTCTGGTGAAATTCAGTGGGAAGAAAGACTCAGCAGGTCAGTGTTTACCCTGAGAAAGTTGCTCACTGTTGTCCAGCAAAGCTTGCAGTGACAATGAGTTGAGTGTCCTTTAGCTGGATGTAGGCACAGATAACTGTTCAGCACCACTAGTGAAAGGGGGAATAAACCACTTCTCACTAAGTGTGAAAACTGCCTAATCTCAATTGATGGCTCTAGTTTATTTTTATATCTTAAAAAAAAAAAAAAAAAAAAAAAAAAACTGGCAGTGAGGCATTTTCTTCCTCTCCTTGTGTCTGCTCAAGGTTTTCTCCAAGATGGAGGGGAAAATCCAAACTGAAAATATCCTATGGGGATTACCTCCTGAGCAAACAGAATCAGATGAGGTGAACTAGTTAGCCAAACAAGCCAATTTTCCACTGAACTTATCTTTCTGGACCAGATGTGGCTGGCTAAACCCAGCCCAGCCTGAGTAAACCTCTGCTGTATTTTGTATTCTATTGCCTACAATTCTGTGCACCTGGAATAAATCCAGTACTGCCTAGGTGGCATGCCCCAGTTGTACTGTAAGCAGCTGCTGTGGCAGCAAAGTATGGAGGATGTTGCCCTTAAAGACAGATTCTTTTTAAAAATCAGATTCCTCCTTTTTTTCATATTTTTCTTTTTTTTTTTTTTTATTGGGAGTGGGGGTGGGATGTCAATTCTACAGGCTTTATATATGTGACTTGAAAGATTCATCAATCATTTTTAGACTTGAAAAGGAAGCAGACACTATAGAACATTAACAGGTTATTAAAAAAAATATGAGGAGGAAAAGAGAAGTGGTTTTAAATAGGCTTTGTGGTACTTGGCTATGATGTGCCAAAAGACATCTTTGCTGTGTCTGCTGAGACAAGCAAGAACTGTGGAAAGGCTAAGAGGAACAGAAAGCATTAATATTTTAGAAAACAACGTAAATTACACTAAAATCCTGACATAGCTGAGCAAGGAGCAAACACCAGAAAACAAACAAACAGTATTGTTCAGCTTCTCTATAATCAGAGGTCTAGCTTGCTTCTTTTTTTTTTTTTTTTTTTTTTTTTTTTTTTCTCCCTTGCTAGGAGGACGGAAAGAAGAGACACTGATTCAGGCTGGCACTTCTCTTCATTTATAATGGGCATACAGTTCTTGTAATGGCCAGGCCTGCAAAGAGATCATTAAAGAGAGCAGAAGCAGCAGTAAAGCTTAAAATTCACAAGGGTGTCTCAACTTACGGAACTGCAGCAAAAGCAGCTGTGTTCAACAACTTTGCCCAGCCAGCAACAAATCTTCTGTCAAACCACGGTCCCAAGACAAGGCTTCCTATTCGGTGTGACTTAACCCTACCCCACACAAATATCAAAATATTTTTGTCAGAACATGTGCTGGGCTGCCTCTCCGAGGCTGCCACTCACAAAACACCTTGGGCTGCGTGTTCTCATATCTGCATCAGTCCTTTAAAGAAAGGAAAACTATTCAAAGATACTTCATTCCAGATAGACTTTTCTGTCTTTCCTCTCCCCCTGCAAAAAAGGAGGTGAATTAGCTCAGTAATGAGGGCAGAATCCAGCTACACATTCAAATGTGTAAATTCAGGTACTTAAATATGGAGTGGGACAACAAGAAGTGTGTTGTCCAAGCAGTTGTAGTATCATTGGAGATTCTCTGGCCATCTGGGATGAGTGTGACACAGGACACTGCCTCCCCTCTGGACCAGAGCCTGGGCTAAAACTGCTTGAGCTTTTTTGAATGCACTAATGTTAAGATGCCTGAAGAGACCCCCAATACCCTGTCAGTGTACTCAAAGAGGCAGTTTGCCACTGCCTGAATACACTTACCTACTGCTATGTCAGATGGTCTAAGTAATCATGACACCTTCATGGAACTGGGAAATTAGACCCTGGACCTAGTGGATATTCAAACCCTACCGGAGTGGCAGCATGATGCCAAGCAGCTCACATCCTAGTGGCTAAAGTGGCATTCAAGACCCAATTCAGCTGCCTTAATACACACACTATAACTTTAGATGCCCCAGATGTCCAGGACCTCCCCCTAAATCCTGCAGATATGATCCAGAAAGCCTCACCTTTCAGAGCTCACCTTTCAGAGCTAGTGACAAGAAGAGGAGGAATAACTAAGAGCATTCAAATGGCACCAGCTGTCTATGTTTATGCAAGGAAATCCCAGCAGATGAAACATAATGAACTAGTCATTTGGCCAAAGGCACATGGGACTCTAACAGCTGTCCCTGCTCCACTGATGAATAAACTCCTGACTAGCTGTGACTGGATCTGGTGGTGGGTAGATCTGGTAAGAGTGGGACTCTGCTTATGCACAGACACTTGCATTTGAACACACGAGATTTGGTATGTGTGTAAACCTAAAGATTAATTTTCAGCCTTTCTAATTCTTTTGCTATTATGTCCTAAATGCCAAGGGAATTGAAGCATCCAGCTAACTGCTAGACAGTGTTAAGGCCATGGATCTCTTGTGACCTACATCAAGTATGTGTCCCTTACACACATAAGTGAGGTACACTTGCCAGGAATGCTTTGGGGGTCACCAGATCCTGGGCAGATAAAGCAGGGTGTGTGGCAGCTGGACAAAATCACTGAATGGGCTGCCCCATGTAAAGTTAGACAATCCTGAGAAGGACATCAGATGCACACTACTCACAGTGCAAGAAACAAACCTCCTTGAAATGCACACACCAGAGCACTCTCTAATTGCTTTAAGTCAGTACATTCTTCCTTTATTATTGATGGTAAGACAAAATGAATTCAGACAGAAATCAGTCAAAGAAAACCGGTGAGCTGCCCTTCAGGGCTGTCCTTAGCTTGTCATGGACAGCTTGCAAGAGCTGCTAACCCTTCATAAACAAGGAAAGCAATCCACATGAATATTTAGCAATTTCAGATCACTTGTAGCTGGTAACAGCTATGGCCATCATCATGGACAGGATATGGAGCAAGACAATCATCCTGTCTGAGGCAGTAGTTCGATTCTTACATTCTTGCTTTTTTAATCAACTGCACCTTGAAATTGCTGATTTACTACTACTAGGTTGAGTAATTTATCTACAGTGGCCCTTTCATTTGTAGAGATGTGTGACAGATGGAGATGCTGCTCCTTTGCAGTCCAGAGCATCTCTGCTTGCCAAGGTCTCCATCCTACTGCCTCCAGGCAGCTCTGCAGAATTATTTCCTATTCTGTCTTTAGTGATTCATAACACCATGGCCTGCAGTCTTCCATACTGGGGGAGGTAGCTCTGTGTTCTCACCACAGTAAATCTGACTGCAGGAGCCTGGATGGGATCCCCACAGCAATGTTATTTCTTGTCATGGTACTAGTGAAACAACAGGACATACAGCTTGAAGCTGGGTATTTTGGCAATCATGTTTGGTTCTTCAATGTTCACACAGCCCCAGGATTATTGTCATGTAAACCTTCAAAGGCCACTGGTGGCAAATGAGTCTCATCTTGCAAAGGGAGGGCCCATTATGCTAAGACTCAGCCCTTCCTTGATGCAGCAAAGCATCTGTTGTCTTGTGAACCTCCAGAAGCAATGCAGAGCTTATTTTCCCTTCACCATCACTTCAACAGAGAAAATCCTTTCATCTCCCTTACTTTCACATTTATTTTCCAGAGATATTTCTTTTTCCAGATCAATACGAACAATTGTCATCAATGCCAAATGTCAGTGCTGGTAGAGAACTGGGCACGCACAAGTGAGAGTGATGTGAAATATTCTCAAACTGTATTTGGTATCAGGCATTGTGAAAGTTTGTCTTTAGTAGGCTAGACTGTGCTATCATTGTCTGAGCACACAAGGACTCCCACAAACATACCAGGGCAGCCTGGTATGCAAACTAATTACAAAATAGATCATATTCTTATAAAGAATGTAAACAAAGGATAGATCTGCCCCAAATCCCTTGCAGCCTAAATATGAGACAAAGATAGTAGGAAAGACAGACAAGGGAGAAGAGGGAAGCTGTGATGCACTATTTTCTTAGGGTGCCATGCCAGCATAGAGAAATAATGTCAACCTTTTTTCAGCCTGGCAGCTGTAAAATGCACTGATAATTTTTGACAGAAATTCGAAGCAGGAAAAAATGTAGCTTTGCAAAAGCCTACAAGGAGAGCTTCCTGAGAACAAAAAACAGCAGGGGACAAAGAGTGCATCTTTAACAAAGGGTAATGGAGATTTTTACTGTAGGATGATTGGAGGCATGGGCTGCTTTTTGTAGGGGAAAGATGTGCAAAAGCACACTTGCTGCCTGCAAGCAGCCTAAGACTGCATTATTCAAGGTCAGAGAAAGGAATGCTGCAGTAATCAAGAAATTATAAGGTAAGAGCCTGAATAAAAGATTCAGATTTGTGGATGGATAGGAAATGCCATACCCTAAATGCTATGCACAAAGTACATGAGACATGAAAGCATAGCTTGGTTTAAAGAAATAATAACCAAATCAAAGAGAATACTGGAGCTTGGTAAAATTATAATGCTTTTTATGGGCCTGGATGTCATGTAGGCTGGAGATGTTGTTCATGGTTGTCTAAAAAAGAGATGCAAGGAAGAATTGGAGAAGAAAATTAAGTGCTCTTTTAAACTAGGAAAGCCATTAACACCTCAAGATAGGCTTCTAAACAGTCTCAGAACAACAAATATGCTATATACAACAAAAGACTTCATATTTTTTAAGCAGAAAGAAATAAAAACAGCAGAATGCACTGTTAGATGCTTAATTTAGTGTGCAGCCATTCATGTCAGCAGAGGATATGAATATGTGCTGACTTACTGCTGGCTTGCGAACCTTTTCCATAGTTCACACAGTCATTGCTCTTGCTGGGGAGTATATGAAGAGTTAGGAGGTTGAAAAACCTAAATCCTTTCTGCTCCCCATGCAGCTGTGCTACTAAACACATCCTTTGGAGTCAGTAAAATTAAAAACTATATTTTTAAAACAGTTTTAATGGATCTGTTTAAGAACTGCACATTGAATTTCTTAGCACATCATTTACTGCGCAGTGTTTTATTTCTGGAATTACTGTGTCTCAAACTAATCTTTCATTCTGCTGTACAGATACTTGCCTGAGATTATGAACGATGGCCTGACCAACCAGATCAACAATCCAGAAGTAGATGTGGACATCACAAGGCCAGACACCTTCATTCGACAGCAAATCATGGCCTTACGTGTCATGACTAACAAACTGAAGAACGCGTACAATGGGAATGATGTCAACTTCCAGGACACGAGTAAGAAACCATTAACTGTCATTACATAACTGTAACTTTGGAACCCGTTTATAAATTGGCTCTGTTGCAATGACTTTCTGCGGTCTTTGTGCTCTGCACTGCTGACAACATAAAAAGTCTTTTTCTGTTCCATGAAATTCCAGTTATATAATTGTTTCTTTTGCTTCTCTTGCTTATCTTCATGTTTAATACATCCAGACACTGAAGGCTTTCCATAATGCCAGCAGTCTGATCCTTTTTCAGAAGAGCATTTAATCACCTAATTAAGTCACAGTGGGTTTCATTTGGAAGCTCTACTGAATGAAATTTAGCACCACCAACACTTCTTCATTCCCAGTGCGTTCATCCCCACTGGGGTGCCAAATGGAAGGGAGAAAAGGGATGAAAGCTGAAAGCTATATCACTCACGCTGTCTCCCTCACTCCTTTGTGCCAGGTGACGAAACCAGCGGCTCAGGCAGCGGGAGCGGCTGCACAGACGACATCTGTCCCACCGAGTTTGACTTTGTCACCACCGAAGCACCGCCTGTCGACTCGGACAGGAGAGAAGTGGAGGCTTCAGCCACACAGCCTGGCTGGTCACTGCAGACATTGCTCGTCATCTTCCTCAGCCTTGTACTGCAGAGACAGTGGAGATAATCCTGGATCTAGTCAGAGAAACTGTGTTTTAGCTACAGAAACAGCCTACTTTCTTCTTTTCTTATACTCTTGGACAATGGACCATGCCACAAACACTTGCAGTTTTCTACAAGATGGCAGTTATTGCAACCTGCTTCCCATTTTAGTTTTCCCAAAGAGTACCAGGTGCCAGACTGAACTGCTTCCTGCTTTTTTCAGATATCTCTGAAGACAATATCCACTCTTGAGAGAATTCTTTCTCAATCCTTTATTACAGGAGACTTTCTGAGCTTCATTTCCTTTTATGCTGCAAAAGGGAAAAAAAGATCTTACAGTATGTGTTTTTCCCCAGTGAGAAAAAAGACGGGGGAAGAAACCAAGAAAGTTTTCTTTCTGAATCAAGCCTGACTCAAGGCTGCTGCATTTCAACAGAATATCAAAAAAAAAACAAAACAAAAAAAAAGACAAGAAAGGAACAAAAAAATTGCAACTGTTCTTCACTGACAGCCAGGTTTCCTTTAGGAACTTCTGTAGGATGATTCAGGTCATCAGAATGATCACTGTTATAGGGAGGAAGGCTGGATTTTTTTTTTCCCCAACACTAAAAGTATGTCTCAGCAGTGAATGTCTTGCACTCCATCTGCCAACCACATCAGATTGGTATGAAGGTAGAGAAGCTGAAAAATAAGTTTATCTTTTAGTATGGTAGTAGCTCCACTAGCTTCAGAATGTCATGTTACAGTTGCTTAGGATTTGAATCTTAATGCCCAGTAAAAATATAAGTAGTAGCACGATTTCACCTAGTTTCTTTAGGATTTATCCATGTTATAGAATTGTCACAGTTTTCCACTTAGCTCACCCCTGTGAGCTCACCAGCCATGATGGTAATGTTAAACAACTCTCTTGACCCCTCACGGGTTCAGACAGAAAATAATCTCTTGTGATGTAATCTTTTTCCTTTTGTTGCTGTTCTGACATCGATTAGAACTTTTTGCTACTATGTCCATTACCCTACCAAGACAGCAATTCACTAACAGACTAACAGCAACCGGATCAATAGTGTGTTTCACACCTAACTACATCTTTCATATCAGTTAATTTCAGTGTCTCAAGGATTTCTTCTACAAAATTTCAGATCAAACAAATATATAGTACTGACATGGAGATTTCTTTCACTTTTTTAGTCTTAGTATGATCATCTATTTTTATATATATAAATATATATAAATCACAGATTTTAACTTCTTAATTATGAGCTCAGGGTTGACACTTTATAAGAAAAAAAAATGTTTGGTCAACCAACTCTTCTTTTTTGCTGCTCTGAAAAGTAACCCTCTAATGACTGGTGAGCATGAAAATCAAAGAAGAGAATTTTTTACATATCCAGTTGTCCATTTCCTAACAAGTTTGCAGGTTGGTGAAGAAAACCTCTCTCACATGTGTGTATTTGGTGGAGGGGGCAGGGGGGAGCATGTGAGTTTGTGTGATAGGCCTAGAGAAGGACATGGATGTTAATTGTGATGGTAATTGTACTTCAGATTCTTCAAGGATACATTGCTTTAATAATCATTGTCTAAATGGTTATGGTCTGGGATAGAGTTTCCCTAATTTGCATCTGGTCATAAAAGCCAAGACGGAAGCTGTTTAAATCCTGGACAAATGCGTGTCAACAATTAGGCATCAAAATCTTCCTTCTTTTATCAACCACAGACAAAGGATTTTTGGGGCAATTCTGCGTGGTGTTGAAATAATTCGCCATAAATTTGTTTCTGATTCTTACATTGACTCTGGAAATGGTATACACAAACTGTGGTAACACTGTAAAGCCAGCCAACCACATTCCAATTAGCAGCAGAGCAGGTAGATCGTATCCATTGCAATCGCTTTTTCTTGTCAAATTAAAATTAGCTATTGATTTAGGCATGAAATTAAAATAGAAAACACACAGCACGTTAGAATAAAGTATACTTAAGCACTTTTACCAAAAAAATATTTACAATCTATTTATATAGTATGTCTAATAACAAAAAGCATAAGTTTTAAGCCACTTGTATTCAATTCCTTTTCTTCCCCATTTGTTTATAATGATAGCATCATAGAATCATAGAATCATGGAATGGTCTGGGTTGGAAGGGACCTTAAAGATCATCTAGTTGCATCCCTCCCTGCCATGGGCAGGGATGCCATTCACCAGACAAAGTTGCTCAGGGCCCCATCCATCCTGGCCGTGACAGGTGGTCTGTTCTTCTGGGCCCAAATTAGTATGTCACTGTCTAAGTGTGCAGATCACACAGGCCTTACATGGCCATAGCAATGCTTCCCACTTCTTCAAATGTTCCCCCTGGAGCAGGTCTTCTGGTTGAGCATTTACTGTATCCAGGAAGTTTAAGCCAATTCTCATAGGCTTTTTCTTTTGCCCTGGTACAGCAGGTATCAAGCAGAAGGTCTTTGCTTTTAATTTTTTTTCCTGAACTTGCACATGCAGTTTTCTATAAGGAGAACCCTTCAAAAATCTCCCCTGATCCATCTTTTCTACCCATCTCCACATCCTCTCTACATCCTCAGCAACTTTCTTTCAGGAGAAGTTAAGTTTGATTTTGATTTCTCTGGTTGTGTGTTTATTCGGTGGTAACTGATTATATTTCCATCTGATTATTCTAGTTGTGAAAGCTTATTGACAGGCAAAAGTGTCCAAGCCCTCAGATGCAAGTCCTCTGTTGTACTTGCTCCACTCTGCTAGTGAAGGAGCTGATGGACTCATCAGGTTTTTGGGTTAGCCTTGGCACACATGTAGGTGATCTGATGACTTTTCAGCTGGTGCAACCAAGGTGTGTGTTCAGGGTGCTCGCATCTATTTGCAGGCTTCCACGGACTTTTAGCAAGAAGTTGGATCCTTTTGGACAAGGAGTAAGAAAGAACTAGGGGTTCACAGAAGGCGCTCATCACTGGAGGAGCTTGCCCTGCTCTTCTTGAACTGGATCTTATAAACTGCTGCTCAAACAACACACCAGCTTAATCTTTGCCAAAATGTGATTTTTGCGGGAGTTCTGCCAGAAATTTTTGTCTTCCATATTATTATTTCTCCTCTTATTTTGCTACTATGCATGGTGATATTTTGTCAGGAGATGGAGATGCCTTTGCGTGAAGTTACTGTGTATACATTTCTTTAATAGTCCCTAAAGGTTGAATACACTCTTCATACATTGCATTTTTCTGAGATTAAGAGAGCTATTAAATCTACAGAGAAAATTAAATTGGGAATGAAGGAGAGAAAAGAAAAAGCATTCATGTTCATAAATGTGAGAATCTACATAATTTCCAATTATTCTATTCACACATCCTTTGCATCCAATAGCTCTTCTTCTGAGGTAATTTTTTGGTATGCCACAATTTAAATATTTATATTCTGTTAGCAGCAGATAAAGTAAGAAATTATAAAGAAGACAATTACATGTTCAAGAAAAAGGAGCTAAGTCCTAAGGAAAAGTCCTTTGATTGTGTAAACCCTCTATGCTGCGCAATCCAGAAGTTCTTCAAATGTAATGTTCTTTTAAAGTGGAGGCTAATAAAAAATTAGATGCAAAGAATTACATAACCATTGCTGTAGACCCCTGTGAGGTTTTATCTTTTTGATATTAACTGAGTTGTTTTTGCATCATCCCCAAATTTTTCATGTTCATTGTACTGCAGATTTTTCTACTGATGACTCAGTACATAGTACTGTAAATGCAGTGCAGACTACCTGAACTCTGGCCAAACTTAGGCATTTCAAAAAAGACAATCAGAAAAATTTGAAAAAAGAGAATAGAGATTTCCTGCAAAAGAGGAAGAGGAAGGGTTCTGGTAAGGGTTGATCTATCCCAGTTCCCTAAGAGGCATCACAGACCTCTGTCCATGGAAAGCTCCGAAAATCTGAGTCTCAGATGGACAAATCATCCCAGTTCTGTGGGACTTTTAGGAAGAATGATTCCCATAGATGTGTGAACCAATTTGAGCTGCTTCCATGCAAAATGGCGTTACTGTGCATGTGACTGAGCACTGGCACAGATTGCTCAGAGAGGCTGTGGAGTCTCCCTCACGGGAGATATTCAAGAACCATCTGGACACAATCCTGTGCCATGTGCTCCAGGATGACCCTGCTTGAGCAGGGAGGTTGGACCAGATGACCCCCTGTGGTCCCTTCCAACCTGACCCATTCTGTGATTCTGTGATTCTATGAGCTGGAGCTGTTCTTGGGAGGTGGACTCTATGTGCAGTGTCTCAGCAGGCAGCAGTTGCCTTCAGTTTACTAACTGATTCTGAATCATTATCAAATGTAACTATACTTATTCACTGAAACTTTTATTATTTCAACATAAAAAATAAATTACAGCACTGATGCAAGTTGTGTTTTTTGTTTTTAATTTGCTTCCAAAGATAGCCCGTTAGAACTGAAAACAATGGAGAACAGAAAATTTTAGAACAATTATGCAGGTTTCTATAGATTTCATTATGGATATTTAGAAGAAATTCACATTTCAAAGACCACAAAACTATGTTCACTATATTAACCCACAAATGTTCAAACTTGGTAGAGGAGAATGGATAGAGTTAACAACAGTGGAATGTTACATAAAATTGAAAAAAGCCATAATTTTAAAGGGAAATTCAGCAGTCAAAGGCTAAGTCTTAGTGTCAGTACTGAGATTATGTTGTCAAAACATAATAGACTCAGCAATGCCTACTTTCAAGAAAAATAGGGCAGGCGATGCACTGAACATGGCAATGTTTTCATTACGACTACTCAGATGGACTGTGAGGATCATATTAATATGGGTAATTATGACCCTTTTTGGATAAGATAATGATAAAGACCAGAGTACCACGGTAACAGGGTGTGTGAAGGATAAATGTTATGATAGTAACAATTTCCTCCTCTGTTAAACCATGTAGGAGACATAATGGAGAATGAAAAGATTTTTAAAATAAAGCTCCAACATCAGACAAGAGTGATGGTCTCAAATTAATTTAGTCTGAACATT